CCCCAAAACCCCAAAACCCCAAAACCCCAAAACCCCACATTTTAGCTAATAATTCAATAATTATAATATTTTAAAATGAACCAGAGCAAGGAGAATCTGGATATCCATAAGGAAAATGAGAAGTCCATGGGTATTCAGAGGATATCTAAGGTCAAGAATAAGAATCCTGCTGCAATTCAGATTACAGCAGAACAGCTGCTGAGGGAAGCCCAAGCACATCAGAACGATGATTCAGCGCCTTCGATGCAGCCCATTACAGATCCTGATGATATGGATGATTATAAGTATGCCCAGAGGAACGATTTTGAGAATAGCATCCGTAGACAAGTCCATCACATTGGTAATTGGATGAAATACGCTGAGTGGGAGGCTTCTCTTAAAGAATTCAGACGAGCAAGATCCATCTATGAACGTGCTTTAGAGGTTGACCACCAACATGTCTCCTTATGGCTCAGGTATGCTGAAATGGAGATGAAGAACAAGTTCATTAACCATGCCAGAAATATCTGGGAGAGGGCATGCAAGATCTTGCCAGGAATTGACCAATTCTGGCTCAAATATGCCTACATGGAAGAAGTCATCTCCAATTATGATAAAGTCAGGGATATCTTTGAGAGCTGGATGACCTGGAAGCCAAAGGACACAGCTTGGATGGCCTACCTAAAATTTGAGGAAAGGATGAAAAATATCGAAAATTGTAGAAACATCCTAGACCGATTCATTGATTGTGATTCTAATATTGGTGACCAAGAAGCTATCGATGCAGTGGCTAGATACATGAAAGCAGCCAAGTTTGAAGAACAGCATAATGACAGAGAAAGAGCCAGGCTATTCTACGAGCGAGCATTAGCTGAGCTAGGTGAGAAAGCTCTCACGGAGAGCTTCTTCCTTGCTTTCTGTAGATTCGAGATCAAATGTAAAGAATACGAGAGGGCTCGTGTCCTCTTCAAATATGCTCTTGACAGAATTCCTAAAGGCAAAGCAGTCAGGTTATACAATGCCTTTGTTAAATTTGAAAAACAGCATGGAACCTATGAAGAAATGGAGGATGTTATCCTGAACAAAAGAAGGAACCAATACCAAGAAGAGCTTGAGAAGGACTCTCACAATTACGATGTCTGGTTTGACTACACCAGGCTCGAAGAAGGATCTGGTGATATTGAAAAGATCAGGGATACATACGAAAAAGCTATCTCTAATGTCCCTCCAGGACAGGACAAGAAGTTCTGGAAGAGGTACATCTTCCTTTGGATTAATTATGCACTGTTTGAAGAAACAAAAGCTAATGACACTGAAAGAGCAGAAATGATTTACGAAGAAGCCTTGAAATTAATCCCACACGAGGTCTTTAGTTTCAGTAAATTATGGATTCTATACGTTCATTTCTTAGTCAGGCAGATGAACTTGTCTAAAGCTCGTAAAGTATTAGGACAGGCAATTGGAAAATGCCCTAAAAAGAAAATCTTTGAGGCTTATGTCGAGATCGAAAACTCCATCGCTGATTTTGATAGATGCAGGAAGATTTATGAAAAGTGGATCGAAGTTAAACCAGAAGATTCAGAAGCATGGATTTCCTTTGCTAATTTCGAAGCATCCCTTGAGGAGTACGATAGAGTCAGGTTTATATATGGCCTTGCCACTCAAAGAGATCTCGATTACCCTGAGAATGTATGGAAAGCATACATAGATTTTGAGATTTCTCTCGAAGATTTCGACAAAGCAAGGTCTTTGTTTAGAGAATTACTAAACAAGACCAGCCATGTGAAAGTCTGGGTTGGCTTTGCCAAGTTTGAACTAGATAACGTACAGAATTACCAGAACTCAAGCAAAGTCTTTGAAGAAGCTTACAACACTTTCAAGACAGAACAGCCAGATATGAAAGAAGAAAGGCTCATGATTCTTGAAGCTTGGATTGAGATGGAGAAGAAGCACGGCACACAAGAAAATTACGAAAAGGTCAAGAAAAAGATGCCTAAGAGAGTCAAGAAAAGAAGGAAGATCAAGGTCATTTACAACGATCTCCAAGAGGATGATCAGAACAAAGAAGACGAAGGAGGCTGGGAAGAATTCTATGACTACATCTTCCCAGATGATGAAGGGCAGAAGAAGAACCTCAAGATCATTGAGATGGCTCATAAGTGGAAAATGGGGAAGAAAGATGCTTAACCATATGCCTATAACTCTTTTTACCATCACCATTTTCAATTTATGGCTAATTATTGGGGTTTTGGGGTTTTGGGGTTTTGGGGTTTTGGGGTTTTGGGGTTTTGGGGTTTTGGGGTTTTGGGGTTTTGGGGTTTTGGGG